CTTTTCCTAATGGGACTTGGGCTTTCAGGGTTCATTATTGGAGTTCTGGACAACATGCTAATTGCAAACTACCTAAAAATTGGTCAGGAGTATGCTATGTAGGGTATATTAGACCACTGTTCTTTCTATTGCCTCAAACTCAGGGGAACAGGTTAGGAATTAAAGTGTATGATGATTTAGTAAGAGAAAAAAGATCAATTGATACATTCCTGACAAGGGGGAGTACACAATCATGGGAAAAGATGAATGGCCACCTGAACGAATTATACAATATTATGGACCAGCAACATGGAATCCCAATGAGGTGATTCAGGATAATTATGTTACAAGCTGTTTTAGAAATTAAAACTAACCAAAGATCTGAGGCCTTTGATCTCCTTGCAGGACAAGCTACTGAAATGAGAAATGCCATTTTCCAGCATCGAATGGTCCTAGATTATTTGTTATCACAAGAAGGGGGTGTTTGTGGAAAACTAAACGAATCCAACTGTTGTTTACAAATAGATGATAATGGGAAGGTATTAAGGCAACAAACAAAAGAGATGAGAAAGCTGGCCTATGTGCCAGTTCAAACCTGGAAAGGATGGGAGTGGGACGTGTTCTCATGGTTGCCTGGCGGACCTTGCATTAAACGTGTGTTATTTTTCTTACTCAGTGCAATAGCAGCTCTGATCTCTGTACCACGTATGGTACCTGGTTTTATCCAACTAATTCAGTATGCAGTTCAGAGACTGCAGGTGGTGGCCATATCCGAGATGGTGCAGAGGGGACCAAAGATGATGCTGCTGAAAATTGCACGTAGTCCAGAAGAGAATTGTACGTACTCAAGGAGAGAAAATCAAACTGATGGTTGCCACATTTTGTAAAGACAATGATTGAGCAAATAGAGGAGGAGGGATTGGTAGGAACACCAGTTTTGTGTCTTTACAAAAGAAGCCTGTGTGAACGCAGACTTAAGATAAGAAAGCATATCGAAACAACATGATCCTTGAATATGTAAATTACTTGAATATCTGGAATATCTAAACAACATTGTCCCCTGAATGTGTTAAATGTATTAACTACCTGAATATCTGGAATATTTAAATTACATGATCCCTTGAATATGTTGAACCACCTGAATATCTAGAATATCTAAATAACATGAGTATCTTGATTATGTCAAGAGAACATTTTGTCTTGAAAGACTTAGGCAGATTGGGAAGTCTCTACACTCAGAGTACCTCAGCCAATGGGGAAATGAGGAGGGTTGCTTGTGGTCGGGAAAAGTAGAATAAAAGGGGGCTGCGTCCCTCTGTAGGTTGAGAGACCCCACAGGAATATGTCCTGTGGACTCTCCCTTTATTCCAATAAAGTTTTATTATTATTTTTTTACAGGACTCCTCTGTCTCCTTTGTGAACACTGACTCCTGGTAGCGTAATTTTCCATACAAAGGGATGTTGATTTTGGAAAGGATGATTTAAAAGCATTCAGGTGATAGGTGCTTCTCCAAATACCAGATACCCATGGCAGAGGGTGACAGGTTTATTTCTTTAGCCATCCTATGAGCAGAAAAAGTGGAGGATAATGTACAAATCCTGTTTCCTCCCCGCTGCACTCTCCCACTTAACTGCTGTTTCATGCTAAGACTGGGGATACTGACTGGTTCCCTCAGGGATAACAGCACTTAGCACTGTTTTAGCCTGGAAAGGATGACAGTTGATGAATGTGACCCCAGCTTTGATGCACAGGGGTAGTGAGGTGTGTGGGTCACTGCCCCCTCCAGCCTCTCTTGAACTGGAGGGGTCTGAATGCCTAGCTGGAAGGGAAAGCCTGGGTGAACTTTTCCCTCCCTCTCTGGGCACTGGGCCGTGCAGGGGTGATCTGCCATTGCCTGGTGCCCAGCCATGGCTAGGCCGTACGTCAGGGCTTCTCTAGCAGGCCTTCACCCTTTGCCCGTGCAGAGAGCAGCCCGAGGAAGGAGGCCTCTCGCTGCCCACGGGAGCAGCCGGGTGCCTTAGTACTCTGAGCTGCGTGTGCTGCGAGCTTTGTGTATTAATACAGAAGCTTGAAATGTGACGTGCCCGAGTCCTTGTTTCATCTCCTTCCGTGGCGAGATTCTGCTGCTGGGGGCGGGGAGAGGCCTCTGGGAGGAGGGGCACGCTTCGTGTTCCCCCTGTCGCCGCCCGGCCCGAGGCTGTCTGGGACACAGCCCCAGCGGTCTCCGTGTCCGCCACGCATGCGTACACAACAGTGAGGAGGCAGTGGCAGCGCGGGTAAGGGCGGGAGGCAGTGGTACCCTGGCACTGTGGCCTGCTGCGTGGGAGCATG